AAGAGAACGGGAATCTATCCAGCTTAGAGCAAATGGGTCTAGATTGGAGATTTRACCATGTAAATGCCTTATGTGCTAGGGGAATCTCTTTAAGTTCAAAGGCATCCACAAAACTGTTAAACTTCCTCATGCTTTTTGTCACCCTTTGGTTAACCTTATTGAACTCCTCCGAGAATCACATTGAAATCACCACCCATGCACCAAGGCCCATCCCACAACCCTCTAACATCAGCCAGTTTCTCCCGTAGCTCCTTTCTCTCTCTGTAGTCATTCGGTTCGTAAACATTTGTGAGCACCCACATATAATCATCCTCTTGCTGCTTAAACTTCATGGAAACCGAGTACTTTCCGATCAACTCCTCTAGACCTTCAACCACATCCCTCTTCCACATTGTTACAATCCCCCCGGAAGCACCCCACGATGGAGCCGCCACCCAGCTAATCCCTCTGGCTTTCCATACACTCCTTGCCCACCTGTCATTAAACTCCATTCTCTTAGCCAATCCATGAAAACTTTGAACTAAAATGCCTATAAAACGTAGCCAATCCATGAAAACTTTGAACTTCATGTAGTGTGGTAGGTATAAGCCAATTAATTATGGCCTTAACCTTGTCTGGGTCAGTCTTCACACCATCAGCTGATACAACAAAACCAAGAAACACAACACTAGGCACCATAAAACAACACTTCTTTAAGTTAACATAGAGCTTCTCTTGACAGAAAACCCTCATAACTTGTTGAAGGTGGGCAACATGTGTATCACTACCCTTGCCATATAATAGTATATCATCGAAGTAAACAACAAGGAAACGACCAATAAAAGGTTGTAGTACCTGATTCATAACTCGCATAAATGTGCTAGGTGCAGTAGAGAGACCAAAGGGCATGACCAACCACTCATATAAGCCATCCTTGGTCTTGAATGCTGTCTTCCATTCATCACTGGGTTGATTCTACTCTTATGGTACCCACTCGTAAGATCTATCTTGGAGAAAATTGTTGCACCAGTCATCGTGCCAAGCATATCATCATGTCTAGGAATGGGAAACCTATACTTGATGGTGATCTTATTAATGGCTCAACTATCAACACACATACACCAAGAGCCATCCTTCTTTGGCGTCAAAAGTGCTGGAATTGCATAAGGACTAAGACTTTCTTTGATGAAACCTTTAGACAGCAATTCTTCAACTTGCCTTTTAGCATGTTCTATTGGATTCATGCCATATGCAGGCAAATTGGGAAGTGGGGACTTGGGATCCTGGAACAAAGTCGATAGCATGCTAGATGTTGCACATTGGTGGCAACTCATTTGGAAGTTCTTCCAGTGCTACATCTGAAAAATCTGACAACAACTTGTGTACTTCTGGAGGTGCATCTACAAGTGGGACAGGTGCTGTTTTCTCCACTTCTTTGGCTACTACAGCATAGATGACCCCTGTCTCTTTGCTCTCTTCCTCAAATTCCTTGGTGATCATGTTTAAAGTGAGGATTCATTATTTTAAAGAGTTGATGCAGTGGGAATTTTGGTAGATCTGCCTGATTCGAACTGCAGCTGAGTCTGATACATATCTTGGAAAGTCGGTCACAAGTTCCCTCCAGGGGGGGTTGTGTCCATGCAACACTGTTTATAGTAAACTATTGCTTTGTGGGCCTTGAATTGAATTCTTCTAGGTGCTTACAATCGTAGGGGCTGGCTTTAGTGATGGATGATATCTGTTTTTTTTGATAAAATAACATAATTGTATTGAAATAAAAGAGAGCTCCAAGCTGTCCAGAGTGGACAGAGGGGAAGGTACAAGGAACAGCTATGAGCTGAACACAACAAAGCTGTTGTGAGACCATGGTTTAATGATTGTTTTTTAGGCTTCATATTATTGCCTAACTGCTAACAAGATATGTAGGTTTACGGTCTTGGAAATTTAGTCTTAATCGTGTCCTTGTACTCTTTGCATTTAGGTTGGTGTCCTACCGATGGATGAATCAAGGGTCACAATGAAAGGCCGCCTAGGTCCAGGAATGATGATAACTGCTGATCTGCTAACTGGCCAGGTTTGTGATAAAGATGCCATTTTGGCATATCAGTTGGAATCAAATTGTGCCATTATTAGTAGTGAATATTTCCATTATACAACTTCTTTTGTTTCTTTGTTTGTTTTCTTTTATTTTTTTCACATTTATATTTTGAAATTGAACTTATTTGTTTAATTGGATGCTCAGATACTAAAATTTTCTCATATACTTTGTCTAAATGGAATATTATAGTTCTTGTCATTATTTCTCTTAGTTTTGTTAATCTTTTTTGTTGGAAGTTGTTGAGTAAATCTCTTTAGTCAATTTGTGTGTGGTGCTAATGTGGTGCCTTTACCTTTGAGGAAAAGTAGGACTTTGGTAGGCTCCTACCTGACTTTGTGAAAGTGAAGTTTTCATCTACAAGTCTGCTTACATCCCTGAGTCCCTTCTTTTGGACTGCTAAAAGAGATGAAGCCTTTTTGCGAAAATCCAATTGAGGGGTAAAAGAAAAGAAAAGAACAGAGAAGAAAAGAAAGGGGAACTCTTGCATCTAATGGATTAATTTGACTTCATCCTTGTGGAAAATTAATACAAGTGTGATGGTCTGAAGCAGTAAATTGAAGTTAAACATACAAGGCATTTATCATGTTTTTTTTTAATCAATAACAGAAATCAATTTATTAAAGGAAAAGGTAATTACAACATTTCAGGAATAGATAAAGAGGCTTAACTCTCCCGAAAAAGAACAGAAATGAAAATTACAATAAAGCCCAAACCATTTGTTCCCTTCCCACCCCCTGTTTTGCCAAAGTATCTGCAAGAGAATTTGCAGTCCTCTTCACCCACTGAAACTGAACCTCCAACATAGTTAGCCACTTAACCTCCCTCCTCTCATTTGCAAATTTTCAAAGTCCACTGTCCTTTTGTAACCAACTTTGAGTCAACAATTACTGTCTGGATGTTCAGCTCCTTTATCTTCCTTAAACCTTCCATTAATGCACATACCTCAGCTTTGAGAGAGTCACCGCTCCCAATGGGGCCTGAATACAATGTAATCACCTTCCCATTCTCATCTCTGAGCACACCACCAGCACCAGAGGGCCTTGGATTGCCCTCACTGCTGCCATCAGAATTTTCCACGTAGGACAGACAACTGAGGAAAAAGGGGCAGAATTTTCCACTTCCAGCCAGCTATTCAGCAGCATATCTGTAGAGACATCAGCAAACAGATCCAAGGACTTCAACCAATACACCACCCTAATGATTATTACTTCAATGATACCTTCTTTGTTCCTTTCCTTGTTAGAAAGGGTCCTTGAGTTCCTTTCTTCCCATAGAGTCCAGCAAATGGCAGCCCTCAGCCCCTCACACACCTCCACATGGTCCTACCCCTTTTCTTAGGCCATCCAAGGAAAGAAGTAGCAAACAAGCTTTGTATATCTAGCTGAGGGATCCACTTGGAGGGATCGACTCACCCTAGACTTCCTTGATTGGAAAAGATTGTATGAAGTTGTTGGTCTATTGTGCCAAGGACTTAAAGAAAGAAGTACAAGATAAAGCCCCGGAGGGGGACAAAGTCCAAATTCTACTATCCCTTTTTGAAGGATCCAAGATATCCCTTTTTGAAGGATCCAAGACCACCCCATTCAACATTTGAATTAGATCCACAACAGTTCCAAGTTCTGACTCCCTAAGGCCTCTTCTAAAATCCAAATCCCAATCATACCCAAAGTTTGACTCAAAAGGGATCAAAACATCAGACACTTTTCTTTGAAACGGGAGAAGGAAAATAAAGGGGGGAATTGGTCTTTCGGAAGTACATCCCCCACCCAAAGGTGTTCCCAAAATTTTACCTGATTCCTAGAGCAAAGGTCATACATGATGTACTGCAGAAAGGAAGGAAGAATGGAATGTATGGATTTCCAAGGAGAGGCTAAATTAGTCCTTGCCACGAGCCGAGAATCCCAACAGTCATCTGCCTGTTCATGAATGCTCAAGATAACCTTAGTCCACGACTTATCCCTATCCCCTCCAAACCTCCACAACCATTTCCCTAACAAGGCTTCACTTTTCTTCCAGATATTACCTAATCCCAAGCCACCCTCAGCCCCTACTCTTAGAGACTAACTCCCAGTTCACTCTATGATCTTTCCTCTCCTCCCTTGGTTCCCATAAAAAAATCTCTCATCAAATTTCCAATACTCTACTTATTTTTTCTGAGATCCAAATACAGATAGGTAATACACCAGGAAGTTAGCCAATGTAGACTTGATCAAAGTGATTCTACCACCTAGAGATAAATAATTCTTCTTCCAAGAGGCTAACCTTTTTGTGAACCTATCGATTACTGGGCTCCAAGAATTGTTATTCCTCGAATTATCCCCTAAAGGCATCCCCAAGTACATCATAGGCCACTGTGACACCACACATCCCAAAATTTCAGCCCTGTCCCTCACAACTCATTCCATGTTAATCCCTACCACACAACTCTTATGAAAATAACCTTCAAGTTTGACATTTTTTCAAATAGTTGCACTACCAACTTCAAATTTCTGACCCACCTCACATCCTCCCCTTCATAGAATACAATTTTGTCATCAGCAAACTGTAGGTGTGTAACAGGTACTTTGTCTCTTCCAACCCTCCACCCCCTCACTAAGTTCCTTGAATCTGCCCTCTTTATTAATTTCCCCTTGTCTAAGTCCCCTAGTGGCCGAAAAGTGATCCACTACAGTACCATTCACCAGGATTTAGTAATGATGTGTCTCAATACATCCTAGGATCCATTTGCACCATTTTACCCCAAAGCCAAAGCATTCATCATTTGCACTAAGAAAGACCAATCTACCATGTCTTATTCTTTCTCCAGATCCAACTTACACACAATCCTTTTCTTCCTCATTCTCCTTAGATCCTCCATTCATTCATTAGTAATTAAAATTTGGTCCACAATCTGTCCATTTCCCACAAATGCCCTTTGATTCTGTGAGATTAAATCCGGAAGCACTTCTAGACAAGACTTTAGCAATGATTTTGTACAAGCTATGAGCCAAACTGATAGGTCTATAATCTATCGGATGATTTGCTCCAATTCTCTTTGGGACCAACACAATAAAAGTTGAGTTCACCCTCGGATTTATCACCCCTCTTAAGGCATTTATCATGTTAGATGCTTAAACAATTGACTTGATGGGAACAATTTAAAATACTTTTCTTTAATAAGATGAAGTAATTTTATTAGAATATGGATAAAATCAGGTACAAGTGTCTCAGGAGAGGCACAAGCTGCAACCTCTCCACACAATCAAAACCAACAACAGATTACAACTGTGCCCAATACAAGTGTTCCCTGTTTGTTCCCTGCTTGGTTAAACTGTTAGCCATGACATTTGCTGATCTCCCCTCCCAATGTATTCTGACATACAAACTTTTTGTTAGCCACATGAATTTCTTAATTTCATTCTTTAAACACCATATCACAGACTCTGGCTTTTGTAGCCACCTCGCGACCACCTTTGAGTCTCCTATTATTAGCTGTTCCACTTCTAGCTGTACTCCAAGCTGCACCCATTGAAGGGCAGCTAGTAATTCTGCCCTAGTGGAGTTTCCCACGCCTAAGGGGCCCAAGTATATGAGAACCACATTTCCACTTTCATTCCTTAGAACCCCTCCCACCCTAGAGGGACTTGGATTACCTTGACTGCTGCCATCAAAATTTAGTTTCAAAAAGCTTTCAAGAGGGGGGGGGGGTGCCCAACTCATAAACACCCTCTTTTTTCAGAGAGGAGCAACTTGCCACTGCTGCCCAAATCCTCCAAAGATCATCAAACGAAAACTGATGAAATAAATGCACAGATTTCAACCACAAGATAGCCCTATACAAGATGCACTCCTTCAGTTCCTGTTGACTTCTCTTCTCTTGGAAAATTCTCTTGGAAAATCCTGGCATTCCTTTCTTCCCCCATTGTCCATAGCAAGGCTGCTCTTGCACACCTCCACATTATTCTTCCTCTTCAATGGTGCCAAGCAAAGGTAGATGGATAAAAAAACATACTTATTTCTACTTGCCTATTCCACCTAGGGATGGCAACGGGGCGGGTGCGGGGAGGGTTTTGTAAATTCTAGACCCTACCCGCCTTCTTAAACCTCCCAACCTGTAGCCACCCCAAAACCCGTAGTGGGTTGGATTTTGGGAATCCAAACCCTCTCCGTACATGAAAATGCAAAACCCTCCTTGACCCTACCCTAACTACATTCAAGGGTAGGGGTGGGTTGGGTTTTGAACCTGTATCCAATTTCCTATTATTTCTTGTCATATATAAGCAATAAATAAGTAAAATAACACAAACATACAACAAAGTTTATTTGATTAAGACATGTAGAAAACACATAAACTATCAATTATCCCTCACATAAAATTCAAAATATTATTAAATTCAACACCTAGTACATAAAGTTTATATGCTTTCCAACAATATGCGGGTCGGGGAGGGCTGGGTTTAACCTAATACTGTACCCTACCCATACCCGTATGGGTTGTAGAATCCCAAAACCCATCCTTCAAGAAAAAAATCCGCTCCATTGGGGAGGGTAGGGGTGGGTACCCACTAGGTAGGGTAAAAATTGCCATCCCTAATTCCACCTGCACCCAAAGATCAAGAAGAGCCAACCCCACAACTCTATAGTGACTGCACAAGACATAGCTGTCAAGGTGTCACCTAGGCAACTAGGCGCCCTTGGCTAGGTGCCTCGCCCAAACATCTTGACAGTTAGCGACTAGGATCACTAGGCACTCGCCTAGGTGACAAATATGACAAGATGGACACCTTTTATAATATCAAATATATTGTTGTATCTTATTAATGTATATGTTAAAAAGATTTTATTATATGCTATAAATATCATTTATGATTCGTTTTAATGTTTTACTATTGAAATGTAAAAGATCAAAGGGTTTTGAGGAGAGAAAAAGAAAGAAAGAAAAGAAAAAAGAGAGATGAAAGAAAGAATAGAATTATAAGGAGGTTCTTTTTTTTTATTCTCTCTCTCTAATTAAATAAAACAGAAACTCCATCGTTGTTTTTTCTATTTTTACTCTCCATGTTGAATATTTATCATATAAAGTTAATAACCTTCTTTAGCTGCTAATTGATATGAAATTTCTCTGTTAAATACTTATTATAGTAGTATTATTTTTGAAAATAATGAAATCAATATAAAAGATTTTTATCATTTTAGATGTGATGATTTGCCACTTTTTTACTGGAAATTTAATGTTCTTACTAAAGAGAATTGCTATTTATCAATTAATATACATGCTGAATGGTATATAAAACTAGGGAACTATCCAAAAATTAGTTTTTATATTATAAAATTTTTATCGCCTAGGCGACTAGGTGCCACAGTATCACCCAGAATTGCCTAGATGCCTTGAAAACTATGGACAAGAGATTATAGTACATGATAACAGTCCTCACCATGAGACCTACAAAGAGTACACCAGTTAGGTGAGATACATAGATAAGGTCTCTTCTTTTGTAGATTATCCAAGGTGTTTACTTTCCCAAAGTACACTTCCCAGCAGAATGCCAAAATCTTAGGGGAATAGGCCTACACCAAATCTCCTTAAAGGGGAAAAACTGTTGAGGAGTGTGGCAAAGGGATTTAAAAAGGGAAGCCCAAGAGAAAGTACCCAATCTGTAGTTGCAAAATATTCATATCTTGAACAAGTATTTTCATAATTAAATTATTTTAAAACTTCTCAAGATGGGCATGTCCATAGGGAAATGACCCTTTAGTAGTGTTGCTTTGATCCTGCATCTTCACCAAGTGACACATGCCTCATGACCAACTCGACCACTACTGGGTCATCTGGCTTGTACTCTGTGCCTTTAGTTTTTATCTAGATTTCCTGCTTGTGTTGTCCATAATAAGCATGGGTATGTATAAGTATGTCCTCAAAGTTCCTTGAGTTTTATATTAACAACTGGAACTTCTCATATATACCTATAAAAAACCAGAACTTCTCATATTGCAGGTCTATGAAAACACAGATGTTAAAAAGCGGGTGGCCTTATCAAATCCATATGGCAAGTGGCTAAGTGAAAATATGCGAACTTTGAAGCCTGTGAACTTTCTTTCAGCATCTGTTATGGACAAAGAAATCATCTTAAGACACCAACAGTAAGGGATATGATTTTAATAGCAGTTTTTAAGTTTCTCATTTGTGGATCCTTCTATTCTGTAACCCTCATTTCATCAATCGAGTTCTTTTATTATTCATTGATAAGAAATCAACTGTTTTTAAATGCGTATTATGGTTTTCAATGTGCTATGGCATGGTTAAGCTGAAGATGCTGCATATTTTATTTTCAGGAATGTTTTATATTTTATATCCAACTTAACCCAATTCAAGCCCATGCTTTAGTGATCTTTGAACCAAAGATGGGTGAGAATCTGGTCTTTTCTCCATGTTGTTTTGCTTTGTCCACGAAATTCAAGACTTTGAGAGAGAAGTTGAAGGTCTAGAACAAAAGTAACTCTTTCAAGGGTGGAGATCAAGCTGAAGGGACAGCTTGATGAAATTACTGAAATAAATACCAAAATAGAGTGGGACCGTTAGAGATGTGTAAAAACTGAAAATAACTGGCCAAGAATGAAAATTTCAGTATTGCCATATGAATAAGATATCTAAGATTCAAAACAAAAGCTGTTTGTCTAAAGGAAAGGGGTAAAGGGTTTTTTTCTGCATGAACACAGGTCAAGCCTCTTTCCAAACTTCTTAGTTCCTTTATAACATAACTATGCTGCCATGTCAGGTTGCTTCTTCCATTCAGCCAACCCACTACTGTTTTTAGTCACCTTCCATGATCACATTAGTGAAATTTGACACATTCCCAGCTCTAAGTATCTACAAAAATGCTTGCAATTCCACTCAAATGGAATTCCCTTGGTCAGTTGGTCTGGAAAACATGGCCTAAATAGCTCTGTGCTCATATCTAAACACCCCCATGACACCCATGCTTGAAGGCCTAGGATTGCCTTGGCTGCATCCATGAAAACTAAGCTTGATTTGATCTCCCAGGTATAGCTGTTTGCTGAAATAGAGTTGTCGAATGAGAGGAGAAGAAGAAGAAGATATGAGATGGGCGGCAGAAGTGTTCTCAGCCAGCCCTAACCTATTATATATAAGAACATTACATAATGTTACATAAATAGACCAGAATGCCCTTGATTAGTGATGGGACACCTAGTCAAAATAAACACTAAATAAGATTAGGCCCAATAACTAATGACTTAAGACCCAACAAAGATAAAC